TGGCTCGAAAGTACGTCAACTGGCGTGCTCCAAAAAAGGACGTTCAATATGGGAGCATAGCAGTAACAACTATACCAATTTCAAACATGTGGGTCAAACGGTTCCTGAGTTATCGTTGACCAAAACCAAATGTTGACGGACGGACGGACGTACGACGACCCATGGCAATAGCTCAGCTTGACGATGTCAAGGTGAGCTAAAAATGGACAGTTGGAAAGCCGTGGTTACAAAACACAACAGAGGGGATGAAGTGTGGAGCACATCGGCACCCTAAAAAGTCGAGGACTGATTAAGCGAAGCAGCACCTTTATTGACGGCTGCGTGGTGACGGCACGCGTGAACACAACAGCATTTGAAAACGAAATGCAAGTAGTGCTAGCACTTTGAGGAATAAATGCATAATACAGGGTGTAGTGTTGTGGAAAGTGTTCAAAAAGATAGTGAGATGCCATGTAGATAAATAAGTGTTAAAAAGCCGATAATTCTGCGTTTGTGAGCCATTTTTATTGGAAGCATTGGGGGACAGGTGCAGTTACGAAACTGGCATAAAATGTTACGCTGTGGCTATATGCCGCTAGCCGGCAGCCGGGCACGGTCTTCGTTTTCCTAATGCCGGCAGTTCCTAACCTAACTCTAACCTAACCCTAACCGCTAACAAAAACCCTAACTCTAACCCTAAACCCGAACCCTAACCCTAAACCTAATCCTAACTCTCTAACCTAACCCTTGTTTACTTGAGATAACACTAAAAATTAAAAACTGCCGGCATTTAGGAAATCGAAGACCGTGCCCGCGCAGCGTCAGATATATGGCCGGCTGCCGGGCATATAGCCACTCTGTAAAATGTTCTACAGCCCTGCAGCAACTGTACGCAGGCTATAGTACTAGAGCTAACCACAACACCTGCGTCAAGCACAAGGGTTTTTCATTGGAATATTATAGTTGCCAAAAAGTAAATATCTGTACTATACGCGTACAACAATACACCGTTCATGCACTAACGCCCCTGGCCATAACACTACTTAACCATGTATGTAGACCAAGTTGTTAACCTAGGGATAGGCTATGTAAAATTTCATGTCTAACTAGTAACAATTTGCAGTCGTTATACCGAGAATATCTGGTGTTTTTATGGCAAAAAAACAATGAACATACTATTGCCAAGCTTACTGTAACATACATAAAAGTTTAAATAAAGTACTTACTTAGATAAGAGACATATATTTAATAACTTACGGAATTTCCTTTTCGGACAAATGGCAGCTAGGAACAGAGACGTGCGCAATTCTGCGAGATCTCGCGTGATTTTATCATTCGTCTTTCTATTAAAATTTATTTTATAAATTATACACAAACAAAAACTGCTGTAACGTGTAAATAAATGTTTATAAACTAATAATAGACAAATTCTGTAGTGTTTAACTATATCTTAAAGAAAAATGTGATTCTCGACATTAATTTTTAGCAACCCAAACTGCAAACATGGCGCTCGCCAGACTGTTGTCGTGTTCACAAGTAATTAGCATCAGGTATGTTTTACATTACTGTGCACACCGACCAAGTGTGGCAGATGTAATTTTTCTCATATAGCTAAACACATTTGTGGCGTGATTCATGAGTTTCTTTTGACATAATAACTCAAAACATATACAACTGTCAAGACTGACAAGAGTACTGTACAGTGTAGCTGTGTACTTACTACTACTAGTACAGTAGTAGCCACAAGTTCCCATCTCGCTTAACACTACGTGGCGAGAGGGTAACTGTCCGTCTCCGTCTCCGTCTCCGTCTCCGTCTTACACTCCTCTCGTGTAACAGTCGAGAGCCTGGTCGGTTTAGTACAGTAGTAGTACTACTGTACTGAGTACTGTCACACTGTCACTGTGTACGTGTGAGTGTACTCGGTACTGTGTTAGTGTGTACTAATACTAGTACTGGTGCAAATCCACTTTAGGCACCTTAGGTATCAGCGAAGTGATGCACAGGTTTCTGTGTTCATCAACTGATCATGATGCCCAGAATTTTCCGTATATCAAGGAATGATGCAAAAACCCTAACCCTAACCCTAACAGTAACAGTAACACACTTCGTGATATCTAAGGAGTAAGGTTATACTTTATGACTTAGGGTTAGGGTTAGGGTTTTTGCATCATTCCTTGTATACGGAAAGTTTTGTGCATCAGTTGATGATACACCAGAAATCTGTGCATCACTTCGTGATACCTAAGGTGCCTAAAGTGGATTTGCACCACTAGTACTAGCTCACAGGCACTTGGAACGTCTCAATAAAAAAAATAATGGTAAATAAACACGAAATGTACCAAAGTCTTAATGTTTCTCTACTCTATTTCGCCTATAATCACCTGTAAATGCGGTGAACATGCTCATCTCAACTATACAAGTACGCCGCACCGCCGCGCTGTGCACAACACATAATAAGAGAGCAGGTAGGAAAGCGTGCTGCCAAAATTCGCTCGACGGCTCGCTTCATTTCACATCTCAGGCTTTCAGATTGAAAGTACAGGAGGACTACTAATGACTCCCCTAGAACACCACAGGGGACTTTTCACGCTCCATAATCAACCCCTTAAGAGGCATGATGGAGAGCTCCATTAAAAAATCACACCTTAAGAGGCATGATGGAGTGCTCCACTAAAATCACACCCTTAAAAGGTCTGCCATTCTAAAAGGTCTGCCATACGACGAAGGCGCAGTGCTCAATTTTAAGGTTTTTTTTGGGTTGTCCGGAGTTGTCCCTCAAGAGTTTTGGTTGTCCGGATATTATTTAAACATGTGCTGCATGCGCTCTGCTCACGTGATGCTCAGTGCTGTAAAGCAAAAGGCCTAATCATGGTACATTTTGTACGTATTGCAGTGACAGCAGACATGGCCATTCGCATGTTTCACTCATTATATGAAGAGAATAAAATATTGGTAATGTGTAAATGATGCTGGGAATCAATGACGGTATAATAATAGTAATTAAAAGTTGCATAAAATTTATTTCATAGCATTTACATTAACTACTAACATTACACTACTAACATTACTAACATTACTAACACTGTATGTGTCAAGTCACAGATGAGCAAAATTGAAAATTAACACGAACATTGTGTTGTTAAACATGTAATGTTATACTTTGTATCAAGCAAGCCAGACAATGCGTCTAGACATGTACGTTTGCAGCGTATTTGACAACCCTGGCCGTATGTAAAATGAACGGCGGCATTATGAATATAACATTTTTATAGAGGTTGGACACCGACAACCACGGAAGCAATTTGTAGTTGCCCGAGAGAAAATCCAGTCGTCACGGACGACCGGACGACTGTTAAAATTGAGCCCTGCGAAGGGTGTATGAAAGTTGCATTCTCATTGGCTACTGAAACTAGAGTGTGGGCTAGAATAGATACTCTACTCAGGCTCCGCGATCCATTGCAACATTGACAACTCTATGGACAGGGAAAACTAGCCTCAAGGCCACGCGTGACGCGGCGGCTTTTGATGTACACGATCGATCGATACACAGACTTTTGTGTCGCGATTTCAACCACTTTTATGAGGCGCGATGATGCGGCGCACCATGGCACAATTTATGGTGCGCGGTGGAGGCGGAGCGCGATCGCGCCCCTTAAAAATGAAAGCCTGCATCTTCACAGCACGAATACACATCAACAGCTTCTATCTTGGTAACTATGTTTACATAAATGTTCACTTGTTCGAATTATACACTCTGCCCTTTGTCCTTACCTACTCCCGCCAGAGATATCTCGTAAAATCCTGCAGGAATGTTCTCTCCGTGAAAAGTAAAGAGGAGCGACATGATCCGAAAACCCCTAATGCA